CACAGATCGTGGAGGTGATGCTGCCACCTTACTGGGCCTAGAAGGTGGGACATCAAGCCAAAGAGAATTATTCTCAAGCCTTTAAGATCTGATGGAATCTGCTTTGCTAGGGTTTGGACCTGCTTGAGACCCATCCCCGCTTCCTTCTCTCCTCTTCCTCCCTGTTGGAATATGGCTGTCTACCACTGTATTTTGGAAGCACACAACATGTCTGGATTCACAGGTTCACAGCTGGAGAGGAGTTTTGTCTCAGGGTGAATCATACTTCGAGCCTCACACGTGCCTGATTTAGGTGATACTGAGACGAGATTTTGGACATCAGGCTTTAGAGATGACACTGGAATGGGTTAAGACTTTGAGACTGTTGTGGTGGAATGCAATGTATTTTGTATGTGAGAAAGACGTAAATTTTGTGGGGCCAGGGGCAGAAAACTGAAATGAATTGTGTCCCCCTCAAATTCTTATGTTGAAGTTCTGATCCCCGATGTGACTGTATTTGGAGATAGGGTTTTTAGGAGATAATTAAGGTTGATGAGATCATAAGGGCAGGACCCTAATCTGATAGGATTGGTGGCCTGATAAGAAGAGTAGGAGAGAGAGCTCTCTCTACCCCATGAGGACGCAATGAGGAGGTGGCCCTCTGTGAACCAGAAAGAGAGCTCTCGCCAGAACCCAACCATGCTGGCACCCTGACCTCAAACGTCCAGCCTCCAGAATTGTGAGAGATACATTCCTGCTGTTTAAGCCACCCAGCGGGCGATATCTTGTTTTGGCGGCCCTGCATGACTAAGACACTCCCCAAGTCATTTTATGTGGGCCGTGTAACTTGACACCAAAACCTGATAAGGACAATATCAGAAGGGAAGATGACAGTCTAATCTTACTTCTGAACGTAAATAATTCTTCTTTTTGAAATTAATTAGTATTTTATTGGTTTTACACCTGTTGCAAAAAATACAGGTTTTTGTCTTGTCTGAAAATACAGCTTTAAATTTTAGCCACTGATTTAAAATATTGTTGAGGGTAAGGTATGATAATGATGCTCACATGGTTGTTTGTCTGGTATACAATCCAGAATTTTGGCTGAACATACAAAAACATTCTTTGAAATGCAGTTTGAATTTTAATAAGAACATGCATGGCTTTAGCTGTGCTGATAGCAATGGCATTCCTTGGAACAATTCAAAGATTACATGCATTGTTTTCAATATATTTCATTTTTTTTCCTCTTTTTCTTTTTTGTGCTTTATCTCCCCCAAAACCCCCCTGGTACATAGTTGTGTATTTTCAGTTGTGGGTCCTTCTAGTTGTGGCATGTGGGGCGCGGCCTCAACGTGGCCTGATGAGTGGTGCCATGTCTGCGCCCAGGACTCAAACCAGCGAAACCCTGGACCACCGCAGCAGAGCTCGGGAACTTAACCACTCAGCCTCGGGGCCAGCCCCACATTTCATTGTTATTGCCCCAATGTGGAACATCTTCATGAAACACATACCAAATCTGACCTTTTGAACACTCTTAGCTATACAATGGGAATTCCAATAAAAGGCTGAACATAAAGAATTCTTTAAAAAAAAACGTTGCTAAATTCAATCCAATTATATGAAAAGAATCATACAGCATGACCAATTTGGTATCATCCCAGTAACGCAAAGTGACACTAGAAAATGAATAAGCATAACATAATAACAGATTAAAAATAAAAGTCATACAATTTCAATAAAAACATCTGATAAAATTCTACATCCTTTAATTAAAAAATACTTTATTGCTAAAAAATGCTAACCATCATCTGAGCTTTCAGCGAGTCTTTAATCTTTTTGCTGGTGGAAAGTCTTGTGAAAAACACAGTTTCTGTGGGGTGCAATTAAGTGAGGTGTAGTAAAATGAGGTGTGCCTACATACAATGAACCCTATAAACCAATAAGAGAGAGAGAGACAACCCAGTGGGAAAGTGGCAAGAAACTTAACAGGCAATTCATGAAAGAGGAAATCTAAATAGACAATAGACGTAGTAATAGTTCCAAACCTCATGAGATGCTACTACATGGTTAGAATAAAAAGACTGCAGAGGCAAGCGATAGTGAGCATGCGGAGCAATGGGAACCCGTCAACGCTATCATTCCATCCCTAGAAACACATCCTAGAGGAATACTTGCACGTTATATGCCAGGAAATATGTACAAGCATGTTCATGAAATAGGAATGAACACAAATGTTCATCAAACTGTGAATGAATAAAGAAATTCATATAATGAAATACTATATAGCAATAAAAATGAATAAATTACAGCTTCACATAATTCCATGGATGAATCCCAGTAACATAATGTTGAGTGAAAAAAAGCCAGAGAACATACTATTAGCAAGATTAAGCAATAGTTGTGTCAGTCTTAGCCTGTGAATAGTGATGCTAAGAATGTCTGAGGCTCTTGCCAGGGCCTTATTACTGGTAGGGAGCCCCATGGAGATTTCCCCTACAGGAGCCAATTTTGTGGCTGGACTGGCCTTTGTGGTTCTTATTATGATCACAGGATGCACTTCAGCAAAAACTGTCAGCAAACATTTAGGGACAAGATTTATCACTGACAGTTCCAGGAGGATACAGGGTACACCCCAGGGTCACCCAGCAGGTCACAGGTAAGAGAGAGAGAAGGAACACAGGCAATATGTTTATTCAGGATAGATGGCTTTTGAAATGGATGCCTCAGCAATCAAAAGCTAATGTCAGGCACTTACATTATAATCAAAAGCTTAACGGAGTCACTTACACTTCAATAATGTTGAGGGACACAAAATTAATGTGACAAAATTCTAAGCAAATGCAAAGAGGTGATCACTGTACCAAAGGCAGTTTCCTTTGGGGAGGAAGGAGGTTGTGACCCGAACGCCTGAGGAGCTTCTAGGGGCTGGCAGCATTCTATTTTTTGACGTAGGAGGTACTTTTCTAGTTGTTTGAATTATAATAATTAATTAATATTATATATGTGATTTATGCCCTTTCCCCTATATTTGCTACATCTCACACTGAAAAACAAGTTTACTAAAAAAAAAGAGAGAGAAAGAGAAATGGTATAAACAGATTGGCTGGTGAAATAGAGGGGAGTGTGAGCCAGTGTGGCTGTGCTCAGGCCTACCAGGGAAGACACCTATTAGCAATAAGTGACAGGTAGATACTGCTGAGTTTTAAGTTCCAGCCTTCAGTGTTAGGCTTAATTATTTTGTTGGGAGCCTTGTTGATTTCTAAAATATTAACCGCATAGAAAATAGTACCAGAAGTTAATCCCAAAGCAAACTTTTAAATTCTCCGCACCAAGAAAGCATCAGTCCAACATTATATGAATAGTGTATCCTATTTCACCACTGTGGTCACCTGAATTAGCAATGGAAGATGCTGCCTCCAACTCGAGGGAAAACACAACAGGGGTTTTGGGGATTTAAAGCACCTGTTTGATGCTGCCTGGAACTGAAAACAACAACTTACTAAGCAGAGCTCTTTGCTTTACATGTCATCAATTATTTCAGCTCCTTATTATGTGGCCTAACTCTTTAAAGAGAGTTTGTTCTGTTAGCCCAAGAACGTGCTCATACATACAAACCCACAGGACTCTTTATCAATGGTGGCTCCAAACTAAGGGGTCCCGGGGCCGCGTTAGACTTTCTACAGTCTCTACAAGCTCCCCTCTAAATCCCTAAATTTCCCAGTTACAATGCTGCCACTACCACAACCACCGTCACCATCATCTTATGTGTATTAAATATTAGGTGTAAAGAAAATAGCCAAACACACTCTCTTATTCTCCGGTACCATACAAAACACTGTGCACACACGACCACAAGAGGGCTGCCATAGAGCCCCCCCTCAGCCTCTAACCCGTCCTCACCCATATAGAAATCCTGGAGCTGCCTCTGCAGTCCGTTTAAGAAGCTCTACAACTTTGGAAATCACGAAATTCTGCACTATATGATCTTCTAAACTTAAGTTTAAAAATTTCTTAACATAAAAGCTGGCGACCCCAAGTGTCAGTATTTCTGTGCTGTGAAACAAGCAGGGGTTGGCATTTGCGTTTCCATAAGTTGCAATGTGGATTAGTGTCTGCCACTTTCATTTAATGCCAAATCCAAGGTAGAGGAGGAAAAATTCTCCCCTACTCTCTTTGGGTCTCTGGCTGGGCCTAAGAATTAGACTGACTTGAAACATATTAACAGGAGAAAAACATAGAAATTTTAATTGAATTTTGACCTATACATGGGAGCCTTTACAGGAGAATGAAGACCCAAAGAAGCGACAAGAGCAGGAAGATTTTACACCATTTAGAGAAGAAACAATACATTTGTGAAGAGCTGACAGACACAGAGGCTTGGGCTATGGGTAATAAATGGTAAAGGAGTAACTAGGAAGATATGGGTTAGTTTAACAAGATTTGTGTATACAGGCTTCTTGGCCCCAACTTCCTTGTCTCTGGTGATAAGAATGTCTTCCCTCCTCCTGGCAGAGGGAGGGTACATTCCGCAGAGGGGAGATTTATCTCCTGCTTTCAGGAAGACAAAGGAGGGTCAGAGTGTCCCTCTTGCACTGGCTCTTCCTTAAGTAACTTTAATCTAAAATAATCAATATGTCAAAGTGGCATATTTTGGGGTGGCATATTCTGACTCCCTTCATCAGGTACCCTTGGGGACAGAATTCTTATCTCTAGTTTCTAGTTCATTTCTCTATTAGCTGCTCTGGATGGAATCCACCTGCTCAATTTCTTTCACGTGGAATCAAAGGATGGCCATGAGCAGAGCACATACTGAAGAGCTCAGTGGGGCAAGCCGGAGTAGCTTGGCTCACTATTGTAGCATATGGCTACAGCCTTGTATATCGGAATACTTCTAACAAAAATACTAAGATTATAGTCTTGTTATTGAGAAATATGGTAATGTTCATGACTTAGATTAAGAGCCATGAATTCTATACAGTGATCTCTTGAATTTTTTTTCCCCTATCTTGTTTTTCTAGACTGATGCGATTGAGAACATGTTTGAACAGAATTTAAAGATCAAGTTTTACATCAGTTCCAGGTCCACATCTCCGTCCTCACCCAGTGGAGACGAAGCTGACCTAGTTAAGGTGCCTCCCTGGGGTAGCTTTGCTCCCCAAGTGTCCACTCATAACAAGGCAAAGGGAGAATGAATCCCATTCAGAAACAGAGGGACATTTCTCTCCTGATCAAGCACATTGCTTAGTTAGACACAGTCTATTAGAGAATATTAAGCTTAACTGATAACACAGGAAGATTTGAAACTCAAATGAAAAAACTATTCATGAAAATCAACTTTAAAAAGGCAAAACTTCCACCTGCACTTGAACAACAGGCTTAATGATGGTGTCTACTATGAAGCGAGGATTTAAAAGAGCAGAAAGCACAATTCTGTGAATTATGAAATGGTCGGTAACCGCGATGCAAACTGTGAGGGGGTGTGGTCTGGCAGGGACAGTTCCCTCATTATTTACATTGTTTTAATTAACATTATGGAGTCATGATATAACAGGACATTTTATATAATCATACCATAACATCAAGTCTGATATTATGTATAAGTAATAAGGTATAAAAATACGTTTGTAAGTGCACTTATTAAAATTGAATACAATTTCCTACTTTCTACATAATGGTAGATAGAACAACACTTTATTGGCCCTTCATGTTCTTTCACTTTTTTTTCAATTATTTCATTGAGGTCATAATGTTTATAACATTGTGTAATTTCAGGTGCACATTATTATTTATCAGTTTCTGTGTATACTGGATCATGCTCACCACCAATAGTTTAATTTTTCTCCTTTGATTTCTTCATTGACCCAATCGTTGTTCAGCAGCATTTTTTTTAATCTCCACATTTTTGTGGGTTTTAAAATTTTCTTCCTGTAGTTGATTTCTAGTTTCATACCTTTGTGATCAGAAAAGATGCTTGGTATTATTTCAATCTTCTTAAATTTATTGAGACTTGTTTTTGTGGCCTAATATGTACTCTATCCTGGAGAATGTTCCATGAGCATTTTAAAAGAATGTGTATTCTGCGGTTTTGGGGAAGGAATGTTCTATATATTTCTACTAAGTCCATCTGGTCTAATGTGTCATTTAAGGCCAATTTTTCCTTATTGATCTTCTGTTTGGATGATCTATCCATTGATATAAGTGGAGTGTTAAATTCCCCTACTATTATTGTGTTACTGTCTATTTCTCTTTTTATGTCTGTTAATAATTGTTTTATATATTTAGGTGCTCCTACGTTGTGTGCATAGATATTTGTTAGTGTTATATCCTCTTGTTGGATTGTTCCCTTAATCATCATGTAGTGCCCTTCTTTGTCTCTTGTTACAGTTTTTGTTTTAGAGTCTGATATAAGTATTGCTACCCCCACTTTCTTTTCTTTGCAATTTGCATGGAGTATCTTTTTTCCATTCTTTCACTTTCAGTTTGTGAGTGTCTTTAGGTCTGAAGTGTGTCTTTTGTATGCAGCATATGCATGGGTCTTGGTTTTTTTAATCCAATTGGCCACCCTATGCCTTTTCATTGGAGCACTTAGTCCATTGACATTTAAAGTAGCTATTGATAAATATGTGCTTATTGCCATTTTGTTACTTTTTTTCCTGGGTGTTTTAGGAGTTCTTATCTATTCCTTTCTTCTTCTCTTGCTCTCTTCCATTACAGTTTGATGGCTTTCTTTAGTAATATGTTTGATTTCTTTCCTTTTACTTATTTGTTTATTTATTATAGGTTTCTGGTTTGTGATTACCATGCAGTGCCTATATAATATTCTATATATATAACAATCTATATTCTCTTTATCTTGACCTCTTTCTAAAAGCTCTACTCTTTTACTCCCCTCCTCCCACATTTTATGTTTTTGAAATCACATCTAATCTCTTGTTTTGTGTGTGTCTATCCATTACCCTCTTATCATTGAAATAGGTAATTTTAGTACTTTTGTCTTTTTTTTTTTTAAAGATTTTGTTTTTTTCCTTTTTCTCCCCAAAGCCCCCCGGTACATAGTTGTATATTCTTCATTGTCGGTCCTTCTAGTTGTGGCATGTGGGACGCCGCCTCAGCGTGGTTTGACGAGAAATGCCATGTCCGCGCCCAGGATCCGAACCAACGAAACACTGGGCCGCCTGCAGCGGAGCACGCGAACTTAACCACTCGGCCACGGGGCCAGCCCCAGTACTTTTGTCTTTTAACCTTCACATTATCTTCATAGGTGGTTGATCTGCTACCTTTACTATATTTTTGCCTTCACCAGTGATTTCATTGCCTGGGGTGTTTTTTGATAATTTTCTTATCCGTATTTGTGGTCTTCTCTTTCCCACTTAAATAAGTCCCTTCAGCATTTCTTGTAGAACTGGTTTCTTGGTGATAAATTCCTATTAATTTTTGCTTGTCTGGGAAGCTGTTGCTCTCTCCTTCCATTCTGAATGATAACCTTGCTGGATAGAGTATTCTTGGCTGTAGGTTTTTTCTTTTCAGCCCTTTAAATATGCCATGCCACTCTCTTCTAGCCTGTAGGGTTTCAGCTGAGAAGTCCGCTGATAGCCTTATGGGCTTTCCTTTATATGTCACTTGTTGCCTTTCTCTTGCTGCTTTTAGGATTTTCTGTTTATCTTTAATTTGGGACATTTTAATTATAATGTGTCTTGGTGTGGGACTCTTTGGGTTTATCTTGTTTAGTGTTCTCTGTACTTCCTGTACTTGGATGTCTGTTTCCTTCCTTAGGTTAGGAAAGTTTTCAGCTATTATTTCTTCAAATAGATTCTCTGCCCCTTTGTCTCTGTCTTCTCCTTCTGGGACACATATAATATGAATGTTAGTGTACTTGATATTGTCCCGGAGTTCCCTTAGAATGTTCTCATTCTTTCTAATTCTTTTTTCCTTTCTCTGTTCAACTTGGGTGATTTCCTCTAGTCTTTCTTCCAGCTCGCTGATCCGTTCTTCTGTATCATCTACTCTGTTATTGAGTCCCTTTAGTGAATTTTTCATTTCTAGTATTGTATTCTTCATTTCTGATTGGTCCTTTTTTATATTTTCCAATTCTTTGTTGATGTTCTTACTGTGTTCATTCAGCCTTCTCCCAAGATCAGTGAGTATCCTTATGAGTTTTTGTTTGAACTCCTTGTCAGGTAGATTCCTTATTTCTGTTTCATTTAGTTGTTTTCTGGGGTTTTGTCCTGTTCCCTTGCTTGGAATGTATTCCTTTCCCTCCTCATTATGCCTCTTTCTCTGTGCTTATATCTATCTATTAGGTGAGTCAGCTATGTCTTCTGATCTTGGAGAAATGGCCTTATGTAAGAGATGCCTTTTGAGGCCCAGCGGTGTGCTTCCCTCTTGTCACCAGTCCAAATAATCCAGGAGTGACCCCTGTATGGGCTACTTGTGTCCTTCTGCTGTGGCAGGGTTGCTCTTACTGCAGGTACCCAGGGAGTCTATTCTTTCCCTCCTGGCCAGCTCTTTGTAAATCGAGTTTGGGGAGCCTCAGCACTGTTGGCTACAAGGTCTAATATCACACTCATGTTGCAGTTTTTCTATTAATTGAATAGGTACCCAGTGTAGCTGGTTGCTAGGCTCAGGGGCTTACAATTGCTGTAGGCCTCAGGCCTGCAAGGCTATTGTCAGCTCTTTTAGGACTGCAGCTGAGTGGGGCTGGCCCCAGGCACAGGAGTACCCAATTGTTTCAGGCTCTGGAAGGCAGAGCTAATCCCCTTTGTGGCTGTTTGTGAAGCACAGGTCTTTTGCCACTGATAAGCCCCACCCCCCCAGGTCCACACACACCATCAACACAAGCCTGGTCCCTGCACACTTCCTGAACCCCTGGAGTGTACTCACTTGCCCTACTGCAGAGGTCCCCATCTCTCCACCAATGTCCCCCACAGTTCACCTGGTCTTCACACAGGCCCTCCCCCACAGAGGCGGACACATTTCCCTGCCTGTAGAGGATCAAGGCACCCAGTCTATGCAGGCTGACAAGTAGCCTGAGGGCTTGCTTTTGGGTGGGGCTGGTCCCTAGGGTAGGCTTCCTGCCCTGGCTGAACTGGATTAAATCTGTGCTCTAGTGGGTGTGGCAGACCCCTGAGCTAACAGGACAGGGGAAGAACTTCAATGGCATCTCCCGGGATCTGTGTCAGCATGTCTATACGAGGTCACAGTCTCTGGAGAGGTCTCACCTCTCACTGAGATGCACCCAAAGCCTATCAGGTGAGTCTCTTTTCACCAAAGGACTGTGCAGCTTTCTTTTTGGTGATTTTATGTTGCTTTGTGAGATGGATGAATTTGTACATTGGCCCTTTAAGAGCTGGGCTTTTTCAGCTTTCCTCTCATAGCTTTTATGGGGGTATTCCCCCATTGCGGTTAGTAGCCAGCAAGGCAGAAAGTAGGACACTTATCTCTGTTGCGCTGAGCCTGAAGGATGCTTATAGAGCTAATGTGTACCGGCTAAAGTCCCCACTTCTCCAGGGAGGGCTGCGTACCTTAGGGTGGCTCCTGCACAGTTGGCTGTGAAGCTCTGCCACTCACAAAGGTGGCTTTCTTTCTCTTCAGAAGAAATTTCTGCTTCAGTCAGTACTGTCCTTTGTTGTGGGGGTTCTTTTTATCCAGTTTTCATTTTTCTCTCCAGGGTAATTTTTTTTTTTTTGAGGAAGATCAGCCCTGTTCTAACATCTGCTGCCAATCCTCCTCTTTTTGCTGAGGAAGACTGGCCCTGAGCTAACATCCGTGCCCATCTTCCTCTCTTTTTTGTGTGGGATGCCTGCCACAGCATGGCATGCCAAGCAGTGCCATGTCCCCACCCGGGATCTGAACCAGTGAACCCTGGGCCACCAAAGTGGAATGTGCATACTTAACCACTGAGGCACCAGGCCAGCCCCCAGGGTTATTTTTCTAAGAGTAGTTGTCACCTGATTGTTTTCGTGGGAGAAAGTGAGTTAGGAGTCTGCCTACACCACCATCTTGACAAGATCTCCCTGGTTTTTATTCTTTAGATTAAAGATAGTCTCTTTTTAAACAAAACAAAACTAAAATTGGGGCTAAGTCGTCAATAAATGTAATCTAAGCTTCCTAAGAGGGAATCTTTATATATAAAGTCATATAAAAAAGTTTATTTATTGGAATGCATAGTAAATAGTGCAGTGAAATGCCGTCAACTTTTGCTTAATGTCTTTGTAAATTTGGCAAATGTCCTGAATCTCCTGCATTTACTACCGATTTCTTATGGTATGTTTCTCTGTGGTACCATCCTGAAAGGAGAGATATTCTTCAAGTCTGTATACGTAGATGCTCTGCTCAACTGTGTAGCATCTTCGCTTACGAACTTTATTCCCCAGTAACATCCATTAGCATTCACTTCTTTCCATTTCAAAAAGTATTTTCTGCTAGTTCCCAGGAAAGAAAAGTTTTATATGATATAGACAGCTAAATTTTATATGATTGTTGAAGTCTAATTTCATAAAGGTAATCTAAGTTACCTGAGCATTTTTTTAAGATTGGCCCTGAGCTTACATCTGTTGGCAATCTTTTTTTTTTCTTCTTCTCCCCAAAGCCCCCCAGTACATAGTTGTATATTCCAGCTGTAGGTCCTTATAGTTCTGCTATGTGGGCTGCCACCTCAGCATGGCTTGATGAGCAATGCTAGGTCTGTGCCCAGGATCCAAACTGGTGAAACCCTGGGCCGCTGAAGCAGACTACGCAAATTTAAGGACTCGGCTCTGGGGCCAGCCTCGCCTAAGTATATTTTTAGATTATTACTAATAATTTCACAAAATCTTGCTGAACCCTCTGTAATTGATTTTAATGTATTTCTACATATTTACCATCATAAAATCTCTTCTACACTTATAAAACCAGTAGCTCAAAGAATCGTTTGAAGATTCTGATCATATATCTACTTATTAAGTCTCTTTCAAATATATTTATGATTAATATTCTCCTTTTAATGTAGTCTACGTTCTATGACACACATTTTAAAATAGCCAAATTGATATCAATTGTATGAAACATACCTAAATTTTGTTTGTAGAAACTGCAAGCATATATTCAAATAATTTGAAAGATATTTTCAACTCCATGAGAATTTTCGTTTTACTGTGTTTTTGTCTATTAACAAGTATACTTCTTTTGCCTTGCTTGAGGAATTTTTAAATTCTTGTAATTTGGGGGATATGTGTAACTTACCTTGATTTATTTCTTTCTCCTTGATTCAGGTTATAGATTCTGCTCATCTCCCAGTTCACACACCAACAATAAAGAGAAAGGAATATCATAGTAGAATCCCATTTCCAACTAAGGTACTTGACTTAGTTATAGACTTGGCAGGTTCCTAAAAAAGTGAGAATAAATTGGTTTCTCTCTAACCCTGCCCTTCCTCCCTCCTTCCTTCTTGCCTGCCTTCCTTTCTTTCTTTCTTTATTTTCCCTTTCCTTCCTTTTTGCTTCCTTCCTTCCTTCCTTCCTTTTTTCCTGGGGACTTCTGCTGAAGCATAGTAGATTCAAAAACGCATACATTTCTGCTTTCTACTGAAACCCACTAAGCCCACTAAAGAGAGAAGAAAGAATAAGCAAATAAGCCAACATAATTCTGGAAGATGAAAGCCTGAGCGAGGGCTTAGCGAGCTGAGAAATCTGCTTAGGGAGGGGCATGCCAAAAAGCCATGAGACAATCAATATCTCAGAAGCCTAGAAGGACTCAGTCATTAGAGACGCCAGGTCCCTTAGGAGGCAGGGGTGATGCACAGTGCTGAAATCAGGGGAGCAAATTGAAAATCTAAACAGGGGTGGGTAGCTCCTGTACACACACAGTGCCCTGGCAGGGATTGCAAGTCTGTCCACTTTACAGATGAGGGAACAGAAACACAAAGAAGGTGACAAAATTTGCCAGCTAGTGTTTGCAGAAACCAGATTTTGTTATAATTTAAATGTTGCCAATTTGTGACAACAATCACTTCTGGGCAGAGAGGCATGATCCAGAAACAGAAAATCCATAGTAGATTGCTAACTTGTTGATAATTCTGCGAAGACATCTACAATTATAGCTATCGTAGTTTCAGTTAGAAATTTCAGGAAGCCATCTGCCTCGGAGGTGTAATACGACCTGCTTTGTAGGAGTTTATCAATTCCTGAAGTAGATTCTTTTTATTGATAGTAGAAAACACATAATTTGCTATAGAAATAAAATTTTGAAATTGAATTGTTATTCTTTCTTTCAGAGAAGGTATAAAAACCATATTATTTTTTGTTATCTCTCTCCAATAAAAATATGTATACATAGGCAATTCTTACTCCATCCATTGTTGAGAAATCACTTGAAGAATATGTCAGTCTAGAACGCATTTTTTCAAAGGTTCAGGATATACATGCACAAAGAAAAGCCAGGCTTTATTTATTTTGTTCCAAATAGTATTAATGAACATTAGATTACCACTTAAATAATTCTTTCTTTCTCCTCCTCCTCCTCTTCTTCCTCTTCTTGGTAATTTTAGGGATTTTTTTCTCAATATTTTCCAATTATGCAGTAATTAAGGTGCAAGAATGTTAAATGTTGGTGATCAAGAAGGGAGCTACTTTTCTTTGAATGTAAAACGATATTTTGGGCAGGGTGGGTGGAAGGAATTACCTTTTCAAAGTTATTTAATCTTTGATGCGGATTTGGTCACTTTGTTTTGTAGAATAAGACTCACCAGTTTTTCCTCATGTCCTTTACTGCCCCCACAAAGTGTCACCAGTGCACGTCTCTGATGGTGGGTTTGATAAGACAAGGCTGCGTCTGCGACGGTAAGCCCCAAAGAAGGGTTAAGAGGAGACAGAGCCGTAGCCTTTATACTTGAAGCACTAATCCCATTCATGAGGGCTCCACCACTACAACCTAATCACCTCCCAAAGGCCCCACCTCCTGACACCATCACACAGGGGGTTAGAGTTCCAACATATGAATCTGGGCAGGACACACGTTCAGTCCATTGCACTAAGTTATTAAGCAGAAATTTTGTTCTCTTTGAATTGTAGAAGCACGCCAGTAAACTATTCACTTTACTAAAAATCTCTCTGAATCTGTTTTATATCAGAGGTTGGACCCAATGATCATGGGGAAAATTTGGGGGGCACTTGGTGCTGTGCAACTCCAAACAACCTCGTGTGCTCGTTGCCCATGTGAACATTGAACCCCAGGAGCCATGCTCTGCAGCCTGCAGGCAGGGCCACATTTATTAAGAAAATGTATTTAAATATATTTTGTTCTTAGTAGCACGAAGACCAAATTCTCTAGCTATATGACAGGAAAATGGAATGCTATCCTTGAATTATAATCATTTTATTTTACTCACTTAATTTATGATAAATATTGTGTAAAGATAGCAATATATTTTTGGAAATATCAAACCGAGGATCACTGTGCTACACAGACATCTCCTTCCTCATCCTAGGGAACAGACTCTGTACTTGGTTTCCTTAGCAAGTCCTGTCGAGTGCTCACTTGGGGACATACTACTGAGCAGGACAACTTTCCTGCCCTCAGCACTGTGACAGGAAGAGCCACCTTACCCATAAATACGTCCTGGTGCATTAAACAAAATGAGATTTAAAATGGGGAATTAGGTGCTTATAAAATCCTTCTAGGGTTGCAGAGGCAGGCTCTGAGCTGAGGTCCCAGGAACATCTCCTGCCCCCAGCATCACTTGGCCACTGCTGAGTCTGGGACAGCTGTCATCAGTGTCATAAGAAGATGACAAATCAAGAAGCTGCCACCATTGCTGCAGCCCCCAGAACCTGCTACTTCTGCTGGGATCAGGAAAGACCCTGCTGCAGAGTCTGCAGAACCAGGACATCATGTGCAGAATTAGGAAAGCTCCTACAAAATTCAGAAGCCACCACTGCAGCTGGGAGCTCACACGCCTTCTCTCAGGATTCACGCCAGTAAAACGGATGCTCTGTATCCTGCATCTCTCTCACGTTGGCTCAGCTCAGTCTCACAGAAAGTCATCTTATTTGTGGAACTTAAATCAGGTCTAAAACTTAGTTGCAAGGGAGTCTGGGAAATGTAGTTTTTAGCATTTCAACCTCTACGGCAGTAGACAGAATTGTAATGGAGGGCAAGGAAGTAAAACCGTTGTGTTCACCACAATCATCATCTCTTTATTTCCTTCAAAAAGCCTGTGGGTTCTCATGTCACACAACCTGTGTAGAAAAAGCTCCAAGAGCTTGTCCAGTGCCTTTTCAGCAGAAGAAAGGCGCCCTCTGTCTAGACTTACAGAAAGGCATGGGAACAGCCTATGAAGGCCACGTCTGGGTAAGTGTCAATATTTTGGATTTAGATAAACTTGTAAGAAGTTTATTCATCACCTCTCATTCTGTGAGCACAATGTTTGTCAAAAATGTATATAATATTTTAGTATATTATACAATATAAATTAGATGCAATTGAAAATTTTTGTTCCATCCTAAGAAGATGGTTTCGGAACAAAATTTAGCTGTCCCCAATAGGATATTTTTAAAGGCCCCAAAGTTTTCTACTTAAACCTTATCTTGTGATGAACAAATACTGAAATCCCTACTAATGATGTAACTTTGACTTCCAGGCAGCAATAATAAATTATGAGACTAAAAGTGAAATAATCTTCTCGAGAAATATTTAAAATCTGAGTTGAATTTGAGGCATGGTGTTACAAATTTGAATTTAATGTTACCTAGAGACAAAGTTGTGACTGTTATTTAAATAAATTGCTAGTGGTCATTGAAATGATATCAACCTTATTTTCACAACACAAAAATCATTCCATCCTCAAAGGAATTGCCTTGTTTTTAAAATTTCAATTATGTTATATAGTTCAATTTCATATCTTTACCAAGAAAAATGACAGATTTATAACAATTTTAACTTTATATGTAATAATTGGGTAGTATTTGATATCTCAGCTTGGATTGTTTTTATTTGCTTTTAAAAAAAAATCAAAACTAAAGATCCCAAAAAAAACAGGAGTGGAAAAAGGATGGCAGAGAGCACTGGCTATAGCTTGTGACTTCAAACTCTTCCTGTATGACATGGATGAAGAAAAAGACTCAAAACCCAACGTTGTAGTGAGTCAGTCGATCGACATGAGGTAAGCTTTGAAAGGGAGCTATCCATACGCCAAAAACTCAACTTCCGTCTATGCTTTTTACCACATACAAAAATTAACTCAAAATCGATCATAGAACTAAAGGTAAAGTCTAAAACTATAAAGCACCTAGAAGTAAGCAGAAGAGAAAACCTTTCTGTTCTTGGATAAGGCAAAGATTTCTTAGATACAACACCAAAGCACAGCACATAGAAGAAAAAACTTGATAAATTGGACTTTATAAAAATTTAAATCTTCTCCTCCTTGAAATACACTGTTAAAAGAAGTCATTAGAGGCCAGTCTGATGGTGTAGTCATTAAGCTCACGTGCTCCACCCTGGGTTCACCAGTTCAGATCCTGGGTGTGAACCAACACACCCCTCAGTGGGCCATGCTGTGGCAGGCTTCTCACATATAAAGTAGAGGAAGATGGGCACGGATATTAGCTCAGAGCCAATCTTTCTCAAAAAAAAAGAAATAACTGAAGCTGCAGAGTGAGGGCAAATAAAATATCTGACAAAGGATTTATATTCAGAATGTATAAAGAATTCTTAAAACTCAATAATAAGATAATAAACAGGGGCTGGCCCCATGGCCAAGTGATTAAGTTGTTGCATGCTGCTGCCGCAGCCATGGGCTTCGCCATTCTAATCCTGGGAATGGACATGGACATGGCACTGCTCATCAAGCTACACTGAGGCAGCGTCCCACATGCCACAACTGGAAGGAACCACAACTAAGAACATACAACTATGTACGGGGGAGTTTTGGAGAGGAAAAGGAAAACAAGTAAACTCTTTAAAAAGGAAAAGGAACAGCTCAATTTTTTAATAAAGGGTAAAGGTTTTGAAAAGATACTTCAACAACGAAAATACACATATGACAAATAAGCACATGAACAGATGCTCAACATTATTAATTATTAGGGAAATTCAAATAAAACCACCCTGAGATACCACCACACATCTGTAAGAAAGGCTAAAACTAAAAAGACTGACCACTTCAAGAGTTGGGAGGATGTGGAGAGCTCTCATACACTGCTTTGTAAATCATATCCACTTCGGAAAAGAGTTTGTAAATTTTGCAGTTTCTTAAAAATTTAAACACACACCTACTATATGATCTAAGTCATTCTACTCCTAGGTACTCCCCCAAGAGAAATCATATGTCCATAAAAGACATACATGAATATTCATAGCAGCCTTATTTAAAATAGCCCCAAACTTGAAACAACCCAAATATCCATTAATGGGTGAATGGATACACTGTGGCATACCCATACAATGGAATATTACTCATCAATAAAAAGAAGTGAAGTATTCATCCATGTGACAACACGAGTGAATCTCAAAATAATTATGCCGAGAAAAAGAAGCCAGACGAAAAGAATACATATTGTATGTTTCCATTTATATAAATGCTAGAAAATGAAAACTAATCTAGAGTGACAGGACGCAGATCATTGGTTGCTCTTGGGGAGCGGGGAGGAGAAGGTTGGGGAGGGAGGGGTGACAAAGCAGGCCCAGGGAATTTGGGGGGATGACTGCCACACTCATTATCTCTACTGTGGTTATGGTTTCACAAGTGTATACATAAATCAAAACTTAGCAGACTGCCTGCATTAAATATGTGCAATTTATTACATGGCAAGTATACCTGAGTGACGTTTACAAAATATATCAGATAGGCCAATTTGAGGGCACCTGGGCCTTATTCTAGGGGCCGAGGCTGTGGAGTCAGACAGGTGTTCCGATTCCAGATCCATGTGGACTCTCTGAGGCAGGGACAGCCCAGAGCTAACTGGGGTTTTCTGATAATATGCTGCTGGCCAGTTTCTGCTGGTGCATTACTGTGCTCACTATCGGTTATTACAGAAAATAGTGTTACAAATCAATGAAATTAACATGGAGACTTATGTTTCTGTGTTGTTTTACTCAGTTTTAGGCGATTCTACTCACATTCAGTATTTTGCTTTTCCTACAGGGACAGAGCATTTTCTGTCAGTCCCGTCTGGTCCTCTGATTTTATTCCGGGAAAGAAAAAGGAAATGCTCCGTATGTTTAAAGTGAGCGTGCATGCTGCCCTTGGATCCTTTGGTTGTGTTGTGTTTCATCCCTGTCTTGCGTGTCCTCATGGGTCAAGGCTCCTTGGGCTGCTGAAGGTCACAGAAGGTTGGGATTTCAGAAGCGATCAGGATCATTTCCCCTCCCTCCCACTTGCCACAATACAGCTATCCCCCTATTCTTATTCAAAAATATTATAAATAGCTTTTTGCATCCTACAGTTAAATCTAAGACTTAAAATGCAATTATTCCTGAGGGTGTCCATTCATTCTACACTGAGGCAACAGGACAGATGTCAGATTCATGGCTGAACACAGGAGAAGCTTACAAAGCAGAATGGTATTGGGGGGGAGGAAAGAAGAGAGAACAAACGGTGACAGAGAAAGAGGGATGACGTACTTCAAGGTGAGACCTACACGTCTGACGAGTCATCATGGACCTGCAGTAGGGTGAATGTGCAGCTTCTAAAACTAGAGGCACTTTGGAAAATTAGCAAGATTTTGAAGTTATAATTCAAATTCAAACCAAGAGTACCACATGGAAAAATTGGAAAAGTGTGTAGTTTTGCAATCTCTTAAAAAATAGACACTCTGCTCTTTAAAATTCATGTAAAAAATCAAAGCAATTCTGGAATGGGTTAAATAAAGTGACAGAGAAAGCAAAGGACTGCTGTCCCTTTGTGACCCATATGGTTACAATCAACCTATGAATCTTGTATTTAACAAAGGCCAGACAGAAGTATTCTTAGTTCCTTAGCCCAAGGATATAAATCTGTTTACACTCTACCGAACCACCAAGAAACCTACAAGGACCTAGCCATTTAGAACTGAATTTCAGAGTGGGAATTTATTATGTCATGCTGCTTAACTGATAATATATAAATTTAGATTTCTGCCAGCCTAATTATATATTTTTAAATTTAAATTTGATGTGCCATTTACTAGTAATGATATAAGTTTTGGCAGGCAGCAGTCAGGAAAGCATAAGTATTTCTGAATATTTCTATTCTAACAACAACAAAAACCCTCTGACATTGCATCAGTCACAACTGACTACGATGATTGTAATTGCAAGACACATTGCCGTTTCAGAGACATCAAAAGGTGCAAATCTTTTTTTTTAAATCACTTTCTTCAATTGAGAAGAAGAAATTGAGAGGCTCAGAGTGGGAGTTCTGGTGCCAGACTGCCTGCGTCCTGCCCTGCTGTACCCCCCATCTCCTCACCTGTCAAATGGAGAGAATGGTAGTATCTACCTTCTTAGGTTTCTGTGAGGAGTAAATCAATTAACACATGTAAATTTCTTAGAGAAGTTCCCGATACAGAGTCAGCACTCAATAAATGGTAACCATTTTCATTTGACGAAGTACAATATATTGTTTAGTCAGAGCAAGCCAGTATCAGTACAGAAGTGGATCAATACAGAAGTGATTCGGGCGTGTTGCTTTTGGCATGGGTTCTAAGGCTCATGTCATTTACCCTACTAACCAAGAAGAGGGTAATAATATTACAAGTGTCATTTGCCAATGGTGAGTTTAATGGAAAATGCTAAACAGGCTGGCATATAGTGTCCGCTTTCTTGTAACCTAGATATTCCTTAACTTGTTCTAGGTCACAGCTTCCCAGCTCTCAGCACCTAGTAACAGATATTCAATTCCAATATTAGCGGATAGCGAGAATGAGAGGAGTGAGTGGGTGCGAGTGCTGAGCGAATTGCACAAGATACTGAGGAAACGTCATTCCGGGGACCGCTCTGTCTACATTCTGAAAGAGGCTTGTGATAGCAGTCTACCCCTGATCAAAACCACCCAGACAGCGACAATCATAGGTACGGACTTACAGCATTCACCCCACTAGGTCCTTACCCCTCCCCACAGCCCCGGAATCGGAACCTGATACCTTCGCTTTATTCACAATTCATTTGTCAGCAAAACCTGACTGAATGAGACTATTGGGGGATCCTTCCCGCCCGCCACCCCCGGTATGACTACTCGCAGGATTCTCTGCAAAAATAGTAGATTTGATTACGTGATGGTTCCCCAGGCCCCGCATATTAGGGTGTTTCTTTAATACGCAGTAATACCTTTATCAAGACCGAAAAATTCGGAGTTCCCAAATACATTCGGCCCCAAGGGTGTCACATAGGGATGTGGCCCTTGTAGTCAGCATAGACTACCTCCCTGACGGTAGAGTCTGTCCTTTAAATATGCAGTCCCAATGCCTAATACTTAATAAATAAATAATAAATAAGTGAATCAATGAATGAATTGCTAGGATCAATATTCCAACTTTTGTCACTAAACAAGAATATTTGTTTCCCACAGTTCATTTCTTCTGTATTAGGTGGTGGTGACAATAAGAGCCACTTAGCTATTTACTGCTGTGTAACACGGAGCTATTTACTAAACTTCTTTGAGCACACCTGTGCTCATGAGTTAAATGCAGATAATTCCTGTTTTTAGTTATGGAGAGGATTAAGTGAACCAATTTATGTAAAGTTTTGTGCTTTGTACTCAAGGCTTTCACTCAATACGTGCTATCTTTGCACTTTGAGTCTTAGTTCTTGCTAAAACTATACATCACAAAGCCAAGATCCCTGACAAATTAAGTTATAAAATTTCTTCATTCATGAAACAACCATTGATAGTAAATTTTAAGGTATATCATTACTTGAATATTATATTTTCTTCAAGTATTTATAACGATTCTTTTATAATGATCTTTCTATTGAGAAAAGTCATATTTTGTTTTCTTACTTCTATAATCTGAAAGAATAATAATGCAAATTACTCTTATTATGTTTCTTTTCATTTTTATATATGCTAAATATGTATTTAATTTGACTTTTAAACTTTTTCAATATTGATAAATTTTTCCAGTTAATCCTATTAGCTTTACTTAATGTTTGCCAAAAACAATCCTTGACATTTTTATTTATGTATCAAATGTAGATCACAAAAGAATCGCTCTGGGAAATGAAGAAGGGTTGTTCGTTGTGCACGTTACCATAGATGGTAAGGAGAGTCTTTTCTGTTCCGGAATAGCTTTAAATTCTAATGATGGTAATATCAGATTTGTTCTCTTTTTTTCCTGCAAAAGAAATCTTGCACATCTGATCTGATGTGTTTTCAAGTCAAATGATGACTTTTCTAATTTCCAGAGATCCATAATCCCCTGGAGTCTAAGTCTCTTCACAGGTGATTTTATCTAGTAAGTCCACTGTAAGGATTCAGTTTATCATCTTCACGTTGGGGCATGAAAGAAAACACAGTTCTGCTTGGTTCCCTTCTCCCCCACTATTACACTGGCACCACCATGAGTACCAACATAAAATTGGATATTTCCCAGATAAGACTGCAGAGTTCTTTGTCTTTGCTTTCATGGTTTTTGAGGGAGAAATGGGGACTAGATGAAATGAAGAGGAGCCATTCTAATACAGCTGTCCTCTTGAACCCTAATGATAGATGAGACAAAGGAGACCCGTGCATCTGAAGGACAGTAGCCACGCTCTCCATCGAAGGCCTCCCCTGCTATGTGTGTGACTCAGTCCTGGTGAGGAGGCCCATGAAGGAGCTACCAAGTGTCCATTACAAGGGCAGGGACTTGGTTGGTCTCTTTTTGTTTGGTGCAGTATCTCACACACTTAGAACAGTGCCTGGCACGTAATAGTCACTCAACAAATGTTTGTGTTATAAGGGAATCAATTTAGTGCCAGAAAAAAACAGGACATTTTTTCCCTTAAAGTAGTAGTATGTTTGCATTTGTCAGACACTGAGAGGTGTTTGCCTCACTGCCTAGAATCTCAAGGCTAAGTTTAGTGTTTTATTATGCTAATTTTGTTATTAAGGTAATTAAATCATCTCTCGAATAATTACCGTTTTTTACCTGTATGATTTTTGATATCTTATCCTTCTCTTTTTATCCTTTTTTATCCTTCTCAAACCTATCCTGTGTGCTTATGTCTGTGATTTTATTAGAAGCTGACAAATTCATTGGTGTAATAATTTGGAGAGAGTTTAAAAATAAGAAAACATTCTTTTGCACAGCAAAGGAAAACATCAAGAAATGAAAAGGCAACTTACTGAATAGGAGAACATATTTGCGAATCATATATCTGATAAGGGGTTAATATCCAAAATATATAAACAACTCATACAACTCAGTAGCAAAAAAAAACTCCAATCTGATTAAAAAATGGGAGAAGGGTCTGAATAAACATTTTTATAAAGAAGACATACAGATGGCCAACAGGTACATGAAAAGCTGCTCAACAACGCTAATCATCAGGGAAATGCAAACCAAAACCACAATGAGATATTGTGGTTCTTAGAATGGCTATTATCAAAGAAAAGAAATGACAAGTGTTGGTGGAGAAAAGAGAACACTTGTGCACTGTTGGTAGGAATGTAAATTGGTGCAGCCACTATGGAAAACCATATGGAGGTTCCTCAAAAAATTAAAAGAAGAAATTCCAGCAATTCCACTTCATGGTATTTATTGGAAGGAAATGAAGACACTAGCTCGAAAAGATATATGCACCCCCATGTTCCTTGCAGCATTACTTATATAGCCAAGATATGGAAACAACCTAAGTGTCCACTGATGGATGAATGGATAAAGAAGATATGAGATATATCTATCTATCTATCTGTCTATACACATACACACACTGGAATATTATTCAGCCGTATAAAAGAAGGAAATCTTGCCATTTGCAACAATATGGATGGTCCTTGAGGGTATTATGCTAAATGAAATAAGTCAGAGGGAGGCAAATACCATATACTCTCACTTATATGTGGAATCTTAAAAAACAGAAAAAGAGCTCATAGATACAGAGAACAGATTGGTGGTTGCCAGAGAGGGGGTTGAGGGTTGGGTGAAATGGGTGAAGGGGGTCAAAAGGTACAATCTTCCACTTATAAAATAAGTAAGTCATGGAGATGTAATGTATAGCACGGAGACTATAGTTAGTAATACTGTATCACATACTTAAAAGTTGCTAAGAGAGTACATCTTAAAAGTTCTCATCACAAGAAAAAGAATTTTGTAACTATGTATGGTGATGATTGTTAATTAGACTTATTGTGGTGATCACTTATACAAATATAGAATCATTATGTTGTACACCTGAAACTAATGTAATGTTATATGTCACTTATGCCTCAATAAAAAATAAAAGTAAATTAGAAAACATTGCTAGTTTGAAGGTAATGCCATTATATTTGTAGAAAAATTACTCAAATTGATGACATTAAAATTTATCAGGTCATTTTTATTGGAACCTTTCTTAATTGCTTTAGGGTAAAATTGGGAGAACGGTTGAAATAAATAGAAATTAGTTTGAATTTGAAAATGACTTACAATTATGTTTATTTGTATAGAAATTATCCGAGTTGGTGACATGAAGCATATTCATCAGATTGAGCTCATCCCTCATGGCCAGATGGTTGCAGTGATCTCAGGGAGACGTCACCATGTGCAGCTGTTTCCTATGTCAGCTTTGGATGGACGAAAGACTGATGTTCACAAGCTGGTAGAAACCAAAGGGTGCCAGACCATGACTTCTGGAACAGTGTGCCAAGGGGCCCATACATGCCTCTGTGTAGCTCGGAAAAGCCATGTCTTCTGTTATGAGCTGTTTCAAAGCAAGAAAATTTCTCACAGAAAATTTAAAGAGCTCCAAACGCCAACCAATGTCCAGTGGATGGCCATCTTCGGTGAACAGCTTTGTATAGGATTCCAGTCAGGATTCCTGAGATATCCTTTGAAGAGAGAAGGAATCCCATACAGGATGCTCCACTCGCACGACCCTACACTGTCGTTTATTGCACGTCAACCAGTGGATGCTCTCTGTGCAATTGAGATCTCCAGTATTGAATATCTGTTATGTTTTAAGAGCATTGGAATTTACACTGACAGCAGGGGCCTCAGATCCAGGCCAGCTGAACTGATGTGGCCAGCAACTCCAACGTACTGCCGTAAGGCTATCTTACAATTTGTTCCCTTGTCTTTCCGCATCTTTCCTGCCTTTTTATTACAACTCTACATCCTAGGTCGAAATATTGATAATGACAGCTTTTATTTTTTAAAACAATATCACTGAAGATTTTTCTTGTCTGTCTTTTTAAGTAGACTAGCCCTAATGAAGTTATATCTAAGTAATACATTTGAAATAACTTAGCCTGTAATTTTTACTATATTCATAGGACAATTTACCATGAATATATTCTTAATCCCAGTTGTTGCTTTTTATAAGCTCCTAAATATGTACCTTCAGGGTCACTGGAAATACATTACACATAAGCATTAACAGACCATAAGAAATAGTTACTAAGTACATTATTTTTTGCTTTTAAGGTTTAGCTTATGTAAAGTATACACATAATGTCCCTAAATTATTTTAGCCTAGTTCATATTTTATTGATGCAGGCCATCATTTTATAAATTAAATATAGCCCTTTTTATTCGCTTAGAGAATAGTAATTGAGTACTTAATACAAGCAACTTACTAGGCTAAGGGTTAAGGGCACAATATTAAACACGATAAGATGGACATAGTCTGCGTCCTCATGAAGATTGCAGTCATGAGACGAGAGTGATAATTAAGCAAGTGCTGTGATGGGGAAGTGCAGGATTCTACGGGAGAACCCAGGATGGATACTTAATCTAACCTGGGGGGGGAGGGGGAAGGCCGGCTAAAAATATGAAAGTGTTTTTTTCTTTCAGCACTTTAAAAATGTCATTCTGTTGTCTTCTGACTTCATTTCTTCTGATGAGAAATCAACCATTTTTATTGCCGTTCTCTGGTCTTTTCATTTTGGCTGCTTTTAAGATTTTCTGTCTTTGGTTTTCAGCAATTTGACTATGACGTGCTTAGATGTGCTTTTCTTTGTATATATTTTGCTTGGGGTTTTTGGATCTGTAGATTTATATCTTTCATAAATTTTAGAAAAATTTTTAGGCATTATCTTTTCAAAAATTTTTCTAACCTATTTTGTTTCCTCTCAGGATCCAATTACATGTATACTAGGCTCCTTGGTATTGTTCCACAGGTCATGGAGGCTCTGTTTTGTTTTGATTTTTTAATCTTTTTTTCTTTCTGTGCTCCAGTTTGGATAATTTTTGACTCCATTTTCATTTTCACTGATCTTTTTTCCCTACTTTATCCAGAAATTGTTAAGCATTTCAGGTATTATATTTTTCTGTTCTATAATTTCAATTATTTTTTTGAAATTTCCACTTATTCACTGAAATTCCCCTATCTGCTGATTTGTTTATATTTTTCACAATTTATCATAATTATTTAAAATTATTCCAACATTGGGCTCATCTGTGGGTCTGCTTCTGTTGACTATTTTTTTTCTGGAATAAGGATCTTATTTTCCTGCTTTTTCATGTCTTATTATTTTTTATCCTCTGCTCGACATTATGAATGCTATGACAGAGATGCTGGATTATATCATATCTTACTCTACAGAGTGTTGTGTGCTTTGTTCTGGGAGGTAATTAATCTAGTGATGGATTATCAGAGTTTTGCTGAGGCTTGGATTCAGATTTTGCTAGGGTGTGCCTATTTTTGCTTTTGTTTTAGCACTTATTCCTAAAGAATGGCCTTTCTGGAGTCTCAACAGGCTCTGTCTGAGCCAGACATCTAACATCTTTCCAGCACCATCCTGCCTATGAAATTTCTGTCCATCTTTCAGTGCCCTGAGCAGGTCTTGTGGAGTCTTGCTCTGTCCGTGTTCACCTTTGGACTTGGCCAGGGACCTTGGAAGAACTGCCATGCAGATTTCTGGGGCATCTTTTTATGGCCCTTTATTCTTGGTACTCTGCCTTTGAAATTCCGGATACATTAGAATCTGTTTCCTCTGCCTGGCAAAACTTCTACTGTCCACTTGGGCTCCATTTTCCTGCACAGCAATTTGGAAATTGCCCTTAGGCAAAAAGCTAGGGGAACGTGGAACCCATCTCCTGTCTCTCCCTTCTTTTATGGATGGCAGTCCTGTGCTATTTGTATCCAATACCTGAAAACAGTTACTTCATATATTTTGTCCAGTTTTATAGTTATTAACGGTGGGAGGGTAAGTCAAATACCAGCTACTCTGTCATAACTGGAACAGGCCATCCACACCAGATTTTAGGAGGAGCTATAATAATTTGAGACTGTTTCAGGCATAGAGTTCAAGATGAGAGTTCAAGAGATGGGGCTGGAGGGGTTCTCATGAGCTGGATCACAGGTTTTATGCAAAGATTGACATAGTTTGATTTGCATTTCAGAGAAATCTCTAGGCTCCAATGGTGAGATTAAAGATAGTGTGAGGTGAGACTGGAGGTCAAGAAACCAATTATGAGGGGCTGGCCCCGTGGCCGAGTGGTTAAGTTCGCGTGCTCCGCTGCAGGCAGCCCAGTGTTTCGTTGGTTCGAATCCTGGGCGCGGACATGGCACTGCTCATCAGACCACGCTGAGGCAGCGTCCCACATGCCACAACTAGAAGGACCCACAACGAATAATATACAACTATGTACTGGGGGGCTTTGGGGAGAAAAAGGAAAAAAAATAAAATCTTTAAAAAAAAAAAAGAAACCAATTATGAGGTTGTTGTAGAAACTGTGGATTAAAATTATGATGATAGAGGGAGTTTGGATGGAGAGGAGAGGATCCGAGGGATACTGAGGTGATATAATTGACAAAACTTCACACTTGATTGAAAGTGGAAACTGAGAGGCAAGAGAATCAGAAATGACTCTCAAATTTCCTACTTGAGCAAATGAGTGGATGCCACTGATATTTACCGAGATAATAAAACACGAGATGGGGCAGACTCAGATGGGCAGGGGAGGAAGGGTTATGATAATCTAACTTTTTTCTTCTCTTTTTGGTTTTTTGAGGAAGATTAGCCCTGAGCTAACTACTGCCAATCCTCCTCTTTTATTCTGAGGAAGACTGGCCCTGAGCTAACATCCATGCCCATCTTCCTCTACTTTATTCGTGGAACACCTACCACAGCATGGCTTGCCAAGGGGTGCCATGTCCGCGCCCGGGATCCAAACTGGCAAACCCCAGGCTGCTGAGAAGCGGAATGTGTGAATTTAACCACTGCGCCACTGGGCTGGCCCCATAACTTTTTTCTTTTTTGTTGCGTCATTGAAGTATTTTAAATCAAATCCCAGACATTATTGTCATTCCACCTGTACACAATTTAGCTTGCACCTTGAAAAATATGGACATTTTTTTCAAAAAACCACATTGCTATCACCACCCATGATGCTATTATCATCAAATCACCAATGATTTTTTTTTTTTTTTTTTTTTTGCTGAGGAAGATTCACCTTGAGCTAACATCTGTGCCAATTTTCCTCTATGTTGTATGTGGGTTGCTGCCACAGCATGGCCAGCTGCTGACAAGTGGTGTAGGTCCACACCTGGGAATCAAACCCGGGCTGCCATAGGGGAGAATGCTGAACTTAACCACTAGGCCCCAGGGCTGGCCCCCTCAATGATTCTTATCATCCAACATACAGTCCATATTCAAATATCTCTGATTATCACAAAGATGTCTCTTTTCATAGTAGTATTTCTTGGGATCAGAATCCAAAGAAGGTCCAAAGAACAACATGCAAATAACACATTGCATGTTGTTATTCTCTCTTAAATATCTTCTAATCTTGAGTGGTCTTCCACGCCATTGATTTGTTATCCTGTAGGATGTTCCACAATCTGGATCTGTTTCCTCATGCTTTCTAACTTCTTCCTCTACACCCTGAATTTCCTATGGCTGAAAAGGCGCTCTAAAGGCTTTTAGTAAGAATCCTTCATAAATAGTGCTCTGTATGTCATACTGAAGCAGATCAGGGCCCATGACGTCTGGTCATCCCACTTGTGCTAAAATCGATGACTAGTTTCTGGTGTTGTCAGCTTGATTTCTTGGACATGCTGAGTTTATACTGCCAGTGGGAGAGTAAAGAGAATGAGAAGAGAAGCGGGCATAGATCAGAGAACCAAGAAACGCAATTATTAGAGGGACGGTCACAGAGGAAACTGAGAAGGAGAATTCCAGGAGGTTAAGTTCCCTGAATGGTCAAATGAGACAAAGATTGAAACGTGCTGGTTGGTTTTAGCAACAACTGATGGTTGATGACTTGTAGTGAGAGCAGTTTTAGTAGAGGGTTTACGGCACAAGGGAGATTGGCATGGACTGAGGTGTGAGTAGGGCTGATAGTGGAGGACACGGACGGCAGATAACACTTGCAAGGGTTTGGCTATAAGAAAAAGCAAAGAGATGGCACAACAGCAGCATGGGAAGAGTTGTTGTTTATATTGAGGCTGTTCAATTGGGGAGACGCATTCCTGTTGAGAGCTGACTATTTAGGATCCATAAGAGTTTACTATTAACAAAGTAGAAAGTTCCAAAAATCTTACTAGCCGGAAGTTTTCAATGCTTTCTTCATTAATTTCACTCTCCACATATACTTTTCTAACCTTATACCATACTCTTGTCGTGAGCTGAACTAGTTTAGGAGCCACAGATTTTGAAATGTTATGACGTTACTTAATAAAGCTGCTGTTAGATGAGAGTGTTAGAAAGCTTTTTGCCAGAATTTTACTACATGTGTTGCGCTCTATGATTTGACCCATGTGCATCATTTACTTAGATTGTTTTTGTTTATTTAAACCCTGTCTATTTAAAAAAATACTTTGAGTCAGCTACTATGTGATAATAAGAATATTACAATGGGATTCTTCTAGGTTTCCAATCTGATGTGTTTTTCAAAATGCATTTGGGCCTAGCACGTATAATTAACCATGAATACTCCATTTATATAACATTTTTGCAATGACAATTTTAGAAATGGAGGACAGAGGCTAGGGAAGGAGGGAGAGGCAGGAAGGAGGGGTTGGGATTCTAAAAGGGTACCCTGGGGGATCCTGTAGTGTTGGAACTATTCTGTATCTTGACTGTGGTGGTGGATACATGAACCCACACAGCTGATAAAACTGTACAGACTTTACACACACACACACGAGTGCTAGTAAAACTGGAGAATCTGCCTAAGATGGGTAGGTCAACTCTATCAATGTCAGTATCCTAGTTTTGCAAAATGTTATGTTGGGGGAAAGTGGACAGAGTGTACAAGAGATGTTTCTGTATTATTTCTTACAACTGCGTGTGAATCTATAATTATCTTAACAAAAATTCCAATTAAAAAATGAATCATGAAGCCCACGCTTGCTGTCACCTCCTGCCCTCCTTCCAGGTTACAATGCCCCATATCTCTCAGTGTACAGTGAAAATGCAGTGGACATCTTTGACGTGAACTCCACGGAATGGATCCAGACCGTCCCCCTCAAGAAGGTGATTGTACATTGAGATCATGTGACTAATGAATTACTGGCTGAAAATGGAAACAGGAAGGTTCAGTGTGCATTTACTGTACCTGCTAATTTGGAGGCTTAACTAAGAGTAAAAAAAAAAAACCACCAAAAGTTGAACTGCTTAATTTTGTTACTACAACAGAAGCTATTTTGTGATATTTAGTTGCATTCTATAAAGTAGGATTGTCATGATATAAATAAATGTACTATTTATTCATATAAATGATATATTTACTTATATCATGCAATATAGATGTTACTTCCCACATTCAGTTTAGTTACTTTTATTTATTACTAATTTTCACTTAACAGTATAATTTTGCATCCAGTGAAGGAAAATTTTACAGGCAAAAAAAGATGAAAAAGTGTATGACCAAAGTTGTCTTTAAGATTCTCAATGAGGATTTCACAGATTCACAGTAAAATAAAAATTTTGTATCTCTACTACAAATAATTTAAAACATAGGTAAAAATTGAAAAGTAAAAAACTGCCATTTTGTTGAGAGAAGACCACTGAAGATTTAAGAATAATTAAATTTGGGGAATAGCATGAACCATCGAAAAGGAGTTTATGTAGGAAAAGGATGAAGGAAGTAGTTACAATTGTCTGCGAGATCTTGCCCTACTTTAAACAATATCAGAGTGGGAAAAGCTTTTGTGAAGACAACTCCACTACAGAAAACAATAAGATACACTTTCCCAGCTTTCAAAATGCGAACCAGTCACATTTACTGTCAGATAAAATGAATTCACAAACAGAAGAGTCTTCTCAGGATAACCTTTTAGTTACTAATGGTTTTTTTAAAGTTAATTTAAAAATTAAATATATTTCTACTTGTTAGTAATTTCCGATTTTATTAACCTATGATGTTCATGTTTATGAAATTTTATCAATATGAGTTTGTAACACCATCCATTCCCTTTGATTGATGTTTTTCTAGCTGGTTTTTTTTTTTTTTGAGACTATTTTATCTTGAAGGGTGAGTTTAAATAGAATATCTGAATAATTAATGCTTTATATATAAGCAAATAGCCTTATAACAATTTTTTTAAGTATTTGTTGAAATGGTAATCTTCTTTTTTATTATTTTAGGTTCGACCCTTGAATAGTGAAGGATCCCTAAATATTTTACATTTGGAGACAATTAGATTAATATATTTCAAAAATAAGATGACAAGTAAGAAAAGACTTCTTCTTAGTAGAACTGTTTCTATGAAACCATGTCTCTAGCTGACTGCCCAAGGTCACAGAGCTAGCCAGTAGAGAGGAGCTGCCCTTGATGTCTGCGTTCTCCACTCACAGTGGCTCGATGCACTCATGGCAAAAAGTAGTTCTCACTCATCCTAGCGTAGCTGCACAGATAACAACATGTCCTTCTGGCACACTCCAGTCATTTTTCAGCAGGACTCATCTAGGCGTGGTCGGACACAAGCAGCTGGAAGCGCTGATCACCATTTCTAATGCTCACTGTGAAAACTCATTCCCTTCCCAGCAGGCTCTGGGCCTGGAAGTGCACCAGGCTGCAGTGGGCCCGCTGAAAGCAGAACGTTAGCCCACCTCGCAGCCTTACTTCAACTTCTCCCACCTACATTTTCAGACTCTAGCAGATTGGCAGCGTGAGAAAAGCCACATGGACTCATCTCCCTCTTTTTTCTTATTTTGTTTACGGGATGGAATACCTAGTGTAGCTCAGTATTAGTTTGCTAGGGCTGCCATAACACAGGACCACACCTGGAGGCCAGGTGTCCGAGATCAAGGTGTCAGCAGGGTTTGCTCCTTTAGAGCGCTGTGAGCCAGAACCTGTCCCGGGCCTCGCTCCTAGCTTCAGGCGATTTGCCAGCAATCTGCGAGTTCTTTGGCTTGTGGATAAATCACCCCTGATCTCTACCTTCATCTTCACATGGCATTCTCCCTGTGTATGTGTGTGTGTCCAAATTTCCCCTTTTTATAAGGACACAATCATATTGGATTAGAGCCCATCCCAATGACCTCAACTTAGTCACCTGTAAAGATCCTATTTCCAAATAAGGTCACATTCACAGGGTCTGGGGGTTAGGACTTCAGACCCTTTGCGGGGGGGGGGGGGGACACAATTTAACCCATAACAAGCTGTCTCATTTTCTTTTTGAAGTCTAAGACAGTTTTGAGGGTCTCTGGGTGACAGTTCTACTTACTTCTAGATATTAAGAACTAAAACAGAGCGGGCCCTGGGCTCTGAGGAGTCCAAAGAAGAGTTGCCTCCTCCCCCAAGATCAGAAGAGGCAGTGAGGAGAGACTCTTACCCGGTGGAGGGGAGTTGGGCCCACCTCACCCCGCCCCTACGCTCCTCCACCTGCGTACAGTAGTCCTAACCGTTTACAGATAGACTCGCCCTTCATGCTTCACCCTGCAGCATAACAGAAGACTCTAATGCCCTTAAGCCACAAAAATCTGGTAGGAGAAAACCGGTAGCATAGGAACGAGAGGGCAACTCAAAGAGGACAGACACCAAGGCAATTGGTCTCTCCCTCCGGTGCAATGATGTTGTTTTATAGATACACATCACGATAGATTTATTTTTAATTATTGCTTAAATTGAACATTACATTCTGTTCATCAGTGCTCTGTTTAGATTCTTGATAAATTTGCCGTATTCATCCACTTTTAACTTTTCAAAGTCGGAGCAGTATGGTATTTGTGCAGTTCATTAACGGTTGTGAGATTAATGTGAGAAAATGTGAGGTTAACGGATGGGAGGCATTTTGACAGTTTAAAGAACACCATCTTTTTGTTTGTTTTAAAATACATATAGATGGAGATGAACTTGTATTTCCCGAATCAGATGATCATCAGAAGCAAGCAAGTGTTCCCATGCCTCGACAGCAAGCGGCGTTATTCCTTCCGCGTTCCAAGGGGAAAGGGCTGCCGCCGAAGGCGCTGTGACCCCCAACCGGTCACAGGGGACCGGGAGGACCACTCGAGGACCACGTGATATTTGATGTAATATGGAAGAAAAAGAAATAAATCTCTGAAACTCAGCCAGAGACATCTGGTCACAGTGGTGTTATGGTCATTTCCCTGTGAAACTTTAAAGAGACTTTTATGTAGTGAGTATGAATGGAGTGTCGATCCGTTTCCCTGTGAATGTGGCATAACTGAACTTCAGTATATAAACCTCCACATAACACGAATATAGAACAAACACACCATAATGTCTGTCCCCTAATCATTTTGTGAACAAATAAATAGTACTGCGCATGCGTGTGGATTGATTACTCTGTGACTCTGCGCGCACCTTCCTTTGACTTTAAGATAATTTTCATTAACAAACCATTACTTGGTGACAATTTCTATAACTGAACAGGCAGAAAAATAGGCCGATCATCTTTGGATTACACATAAAAACATTTCTAAAACTGTGCAAATTAGTTTAGGAGAGCCATAATTGTATAAAAAATATATAATAGGGCAGAGATGCTTTGATGTCTGTGGCTGTTAAAGGCAATATGATTTCTATCAAAAGCTTTAAGATACTTAATTTTTTAAAAATCTGTAAGGAACCGAATAACTGAATATTCTCTCCACTCACCAAGCTTGTAATTGGACGTATTCTATCAGCTGCCCTTAAAAAAGTCACGAATACAATTTTGTCTTTATCTTTTACTGTTGGTTGCAATAGTGTATTTGCTGATTAATATCTAAAGTAATAACTTGCAATGAAGTAATAATTTCCAGAGTGAAGCTGAAGGTTTTCTAATTTCAAGCATGAGGATTCATGAAGTATTTATCCAAGTTGATGGTCTTCTGTCCTTTGCCTTTTCCATCTTCAAAAAAGAAACAGCCAGAGACGGCAGCCCTGCCTGAGACTCACCTGTTCTCATGCCCCAGGACTGAAAAACGCCCGTGTTTGCAGGCATGTATTTTACGTTGAGGTATTTCTATGAACATAATAACTAGTTCAGTTGCTTTTAAATTTTTCTATAAAAAATTCCTGCTTTTACCTTAAAAGTATTAACATTAACAACTCAAAACTGTTTAATGTCTTATCTGTCAGAAAGTGTTTTATTTTGAGAGATTTCTGTGAAAGGGACAGCCAATCAAGATTTTATTTTAATACTAAACTCATGGTTATGTCTTAAATTAATAATAATGATAAATGAAATAACAAAATCTCTTAATTTTGTCTTATTCCTTTGGGGTGGGGACATTCAATGGAGAAGTATTTCCATGAAATCCTGCACCAGTAAAAGTGGTTTATCTGTTTTTTCCCACTAACTGGGACTTAATATGTGCATTTGATAATGCTAATGTTAGGGATTTCTGACCACATTAAAACCCCTGTGTATCTGGTTTGGAGGTTTTGCAGAGAGATTTCTGTAGACAGGCAGGGAAGGTAAGAAACTCCTTTGACTCTTCACAGCAAAGAAGGAAGTGAGGTGGTGTAGGACGTGGTGAGGGAGGGAGGGCCCTGTTCCCAGAGACACCCCCACCTCCCTCACCCCCCACCCCGCATGCCTTTCCGGCTGGTTTCATGGCTCTTTCCTTGGTGAGGTAGGGATGCAGCATTAGCGCCACCTGGGTAACTTAGTTATTGTCTAGGGCAGTGGTCCTTAAAGTGTGGTCCTCTGACTAGCAGCATCAGCATCACCTGGAAATGCGTTAGCCAGCAAATCAGGAATGGGGGGTGGCAGCAATCCGTGTTTTCACAAGCCGGCCAGGACATTCCAATGCAGGTTTCAGTCTGTGAACCACTGATCCAGGGGAACGGAGATATTATTTAGCGTGATATCAGCCTTTCTAGTAATTTAGGCCTGAATTTAAGACAGACATTCTCAACTGGGTGCAATTTTGCCCCTCAGGGAGGGGGGTGCTACTGGCATCTAGAGGGCAGGGGCCAGGGGTGCTGCACAGGACAGGGCCCTCAGCAACAAAGAATCAAAGAATTCTCTAACCTAACATGTCAATATTGACAAGATTGAGAAACCCTGATGCAGAGTCATATGGGCCTAAGATAATTTATTTAGACTTTATCAGGTCTTGTGTAGGGGGAATTAGGTCTTATGACATTGTCCTTCTTTACAGTGATTGATGCCTCATGCTGGGTACTAGTGTTTTAGGGCAATTAAAACCTTATCTAGGGAAATTCACAAGGAGGGAAATTCACGTCTAATCCCAGTGCCCTCGGGGAGGCCTCAGCTGTTTCTGGAAGCCCAGAACCTGGTCACCTGGCTGCTCTGACCTCACTTTCTGGTTGGTTGGGGCTGCAACAGTGGGTATTAGTACCACCTTAGGGCCGCTGGTGCCGTTGCAGGTACATAGGCTTCTCTGGCTCTCCTGATGATAATGACATATCAATGATGACTGATGAGTAACACCTAACCCCTATAGACTCCGTTTCTCTCTTGGCAGTTATTTTATAGAGAGTGACTGTTATGAAAGGAAGTCACAGGTAGAGTGATTTTGAGGTTTTTATAAATTAATAATTTCCTCGCTCTCTTAAATTAAAATATTAAGAATTATAATGATAACAAAACTCATCATCACGTTTAAGTGTTATGTCTAGGAAAGCATTTTATTCTGCAGGATTCAGTGAAAGGTACAATTACAGTGACTTGAAAATTGTTTATATAAATTCCTAGTGATTTATAGAACAATTTAATAAGAATAAGAACACTCAATCATTTTAATATATTTCGTTAATTGGCAAATATTTATTTAACATAATTTATATGAGAAGGATACCATCTTAGCTGTTATTTTGGATTTCTTATGACATAAAACTATGGCATTATAATTTTCAACAAATTTTACTGAGGTGTAATTTAAATACAACAAAATGCATCCACTTTTAAATGCACAGTTAGTCGAGTTCTGACCAATGTATACACCCCATGGAACCGCCACCATGATGAAGCCACACAACACTTCCATTGCGCCAAAGTCCTTTCCTGTCCCTCTGCAGTCAGTGTCCCCACACTGGCCCCACACAACCATGCATCTTATTTCTCACTATTGATTGCCTGTTCTAGAATTTAACAAGAATGGAGTCATCAGTATGTATTATTTTGCATCTGGCTTCTTTTGCTTGTACTAATGTCTTCGAGTTTCATCCATCTTGCTGTGTGTCAACAGTTTATTTCTTCTTACTGCTGAGGAGTATTTTATTGTACAGAAATATCAAAATTGGTTTTTCTGTTTACCTATTGATGGAAATTTGAGTTGTTTCCAGTTTGGGGCTATTATGAATAAAGATGCTATGAACATTTGTGTACAAGGATTTATGTAGACATATGTTTCCATTTCTCTCGGGTAGCTACTTATACCCAAGAATACAATTGCAGGCCATATGTTAAGCGTATGCTTATACCTGAGAAAGGATATACATGAGAAACTTCCAATGACTTTCCCAGAAAGTTCTACCAGTTTACATTCCCATCAGGAATTTCCACTACTAAATACACACACTTGTCAACATTTGGTATTTCCTGTATTTGTTTTTAAATTTTTAGTATTTTAATACATATACAGTGGTATCTCATGACTTTAATTTACATTTCCAGAGAACTAAGGATGCTGGGAGTCTTTTCATGTGCTTATGGGCCTTTCCTCATCTTTTTGTTTCTTTGTGAAATATCTGTGCAAATCTTTTGCACAGTTTTTAAAAATTCAAATTGTATTGATAATTATAGATTCACATGCAGTTGTAAGAAATAATACAACAGATCCCTTGAACACTTTGCCTAGTTTTCTCCCAATGGTAACATTTTTTGAAACCATAGTATAATATCACAACCACAGTACTGACATGGACACAACGGACAATTTGAATTTTAAATATCTCCCATTTCATGGGCCGGCCAGGTGGTGCAGAGGTTAAATGCGCACATTCCGCTTCTGCGGCTCGGGGTTTGCCAGTTCTGATCCTGGGTGTGGACATGGCACCGCTTGGCAAGCCATGCTGTGGCAGGCATCCCACATATAAAGTAGAGGAAGATGGGCATGGATGTTAGCTCAGGGCCACTCTTCCTCAGCAAAAAGAGGAGGATCGGCAGTAGTTAGCTCAGGGCTAATCTTTCTCAAAAAAAAAGTCTCCGATTTCAATTGTACTCAGGCTTGTGTGTATGTGTGTGTGTGTATTAAGTTCCATACAATTTTATCACCTGTGTAGGTTCACGAATCCACCACCACAGTCAAGATACTGAATAGCTTCATTATCACAAGGATCTCTTCTATCACGCCCCTCTCTCCCTTGCCTCCTCTCCCCATAAACTTTGTCCCTAACCCCTGAAAATGACAATATGTCCTCCATTTCTAAACTTTTGTCATTTCAAACATGTTTGCTTGTGTGTGTGGGTCTCTATTTACTTATCTCCTTTGGGGACTGGCTTTTTTCCCTCAGCATAACTCCCAGGAGATTCATCCAAGTTGTTGCAGTAACAGTTCATTTCCTCTACCAAAAGCACACTGTCTTGATTACTGCAGCTACATAGGATCCCTTAATATCAGGTAGAGTAAGTCCTCCCACTATATTCTTTTTTGTCAAAATTATTTTAGCTATCTAGGGCCTGTGCCTTTCATATACATTTTAGAGTAAGCTTGACTATATCTACAAAAACTTTGCTGGAAATTACATTAAATCTATAGATTAATTTATGAAGAATCCACATCTTTAATATGTTGACTTTTCCCATCCGTGAACATGGTATATCATTGTGATTTTTTTGCTTACAGCTGTTGTATATATATATTCCTAAATTCATACCTAAGTATTTCATTTTCTTTAGCGCAATTGTACATGGTATTATGTTTTAAATTTTTGTTTCTGTGTGTTCACTGTGAGCATATAGAAATGCAATTGTTTTGGGCTTTTATGACTGATTTATATCTTTAGTTATTTTCAAGCACAGAATGTAACGCCATAGTTAATCTGATGTCAGTTGCTAGAAGTTGTCATTTGTTCTTTTTTAAAAAAAATTGTGGTAACATGCACATAACATAAAATTTACCATGTTAACCATATTTAAGTGTACAGCTCAGT